GAAGTGAAGAAAAGCTACTTCACTCGTAGGTCCCATCTTTCACAAGAAACAAAGGCATGTCTCACAAATGTCACTCAACTAACGGCAGTTCACTGACAATGGTCCTGATACCTGGGCTTCATCTTTCTTCCAGTTCAAAGGCAGTGGTGAGGTACTCCTTTGGAACAATCCCAACAATGCTGTTCAGTTCTCCTACCCACCAGCCATACATAGTATATTCCTGAAAAAGGAAAAGAAGATTGGTTCAGTTGGAATTTGGTCATGCATCTCTTCATCTTTTATAGTGATCACCTGGGAGACAGTGTCGTGTGGTTTCTGTGTTGGCAGTATGGGTCTGAATTGTTAACACCCAACACCCCTGATGTGATTATTAAATTAAAAAATCAACTAGAGGAGGAAAGTAAACTCTGCCTTCATTTTGCCATCTTCCTGTCGATACCGTCAACTTAGCACACACAGCGTAAACGTTAGATGCCATTGCTGAACCGAAAGAGCATTTTTTTTTTTTATCAAGCTGAGTGGCATGGCCTCTTCAGAGAAAGTTGGGTACCCCCTAATGTGCCTGAATACTAAAGACAACTGGGGGAGAGGGGTGGCCAGGTCATAGTTCAAATCAATAATATTTACCAAGCATCTTCTTTGTGCAAAGTGCTGTTTGAGTTCCCAGGAGAGATGTAATGATGAATCAGAACAATGCTTGCTCCCTGGAACCTTACAGCATAGAGTAATGGGCTTTGGAGTCAGACAGACTGGGATCTAATCCCTGTTCGGTCATTTAGTAGCTGTGTGACCTTAAATTCTCCTAGCTTTAACTTCCTCATCTGTAAGAGCAGGGATAATATCATTCTTTCCCTCAAATGCTGTGGGGAAATAAATGACACCATAGACGTAGAACCAATGTAGAGCACCTGATACACAGTAGGTGCTCTACACATTAGATTCCTCCCTTGAAAAGGATGGGCGGTTGAGAGGTACATCAATAATGGTAATAACAGGCAAGACGTAAATGATACAAGGCAGGAGCAAACAAGAAAGGGACTGAGAGGGTTTGAAAGAAGGAGTGATCCTACAGGGACCCGTGGATACGGGAGAGCTTCTCAAAAGTAGAATAGTTCCCTCTAAGCCTGCACCCCCCACCCCCACCCCAGTCCTCAGCCCCTTTCCCTCTCCGGATCCCAAATCCCCAGCCACACCATGCATGGACGGGATGGTAACTATGCCAATGAAACGATAGATGATAGATTGAATGTAAAACTAATGTTCTCCCAAGTAAACTATCACACAATTCACAATAAAACATTTATTAAAAAAAAATAATTAATTGAAAAAAAAGTAGAACAGTTGCTGAGTATTACAGTGCTATTCCTGAACTCTCCAGAAAATGTTTTCTTTCTTTTGAAGGAGTAAAGTTTAGGGTGAAACTTTAAGGATGGAAAATATCACCTATCCTGGTTCCACTGGATTTGGGACACCCTGGAGCCGACCCTCTTTGTGCTTTCTGCCCACCTGGTTGCTGAGTTAGACAGGACATAAAACGGAGACACGTAAAATTCTGAGACTCTAGCATTAACTGGAGATCTGTGTGTCTTTCTATATCATTATCGCCCCTCCTCCAATGCTGCCTCTGTCCTCTCAGCAAGTGACCCATTCTCTAACTTCAAAGAGAAAAGAGAAGCCATGGGATGTGTCCAGTCGCCGAAGCAGGTACACTACTGACTCCCATACTTCTTTTCTAGTAACATGGGGTTTAAAGCGTGGTTTAAGACGGCCCCTCACAACATGAACTTTCTTACGAAGTTCTGGGCAGTCTGCCCTTTGCCTCCAGTGTAAATGCTCCTTCCATTAGTACTGAAATGTGTTCAAGTTTCTTTCTCCCTTGAAAACAGCAGTTACATAATCCCCACTTCAAAATGGAACCGCCAGAATGGAAATCCTGAGAATGCTCACGCAGTGTAAAGAACGTAACCCACGTCACTTAGCAATTTGTGCAGAAATTGTTGAAAGGGAGCCTACACTGCTATATAAACCTTCACTGAGAACACAATAAAACATTATTTTTAATAAAAAAAAAAAAGTAATTTCATGTCTACTTCCCATTTCTGCTGGTCTATGCATTTCTAATTACTACCGTGTAGCCCCAATGGCTTTCTCTCCATTCATTCTTCTGGCCAATCTAGTGGGACTTCTGTTTCCATGGTTTCCTATCACTTCCTTATCATCAGATTCAACTTCTCAGTCTCTATGAACATACTTGCTCTCTGGGCAATCCAGGCATCATGGCTGTTCCTAAGATATTTTCTTCACTTAGTTTCTATGATAATTATACTCTGATCCCCCTCCTACCTCCTCATTCTTTTTTGCAGGCTCATCTTTTGCTAGTTCTCCTTCCAAGGTGATTGTTTACTAGGGTCTGCCCTGACCCTCTTCTCTCCTGGCATGACGTACTTTTCTTTGAGTGATCTTTTGTGCCTCTGGTTTACTCACCATCTCCCCAAATATTACTGGAACCATTCACCATTCCTACTGCTAACACCTCATATCCTTGAGGACTACAGAAACAAATTCCAAATTGGTCTTGTTATCTCTGTTTTGGCTGCTCTCCAATCTATTCTCATATCTGCAGTCAGAATCTTCCTAAAACGCACACTGAGGATAGTGCTGCTCTGCTTGAAACTCCCATTGCTCACTGTAACCTTTTTAACAAGGTCTGCACAGCTGTGTGAGACCTGGCCTCAGTACTCACAGCGAAGCGCTGCCACTCACACCCTCTAAGTCCAGTAAAACAGAACTTCTCTTAGCTGCTCTCTCAAAAGGGAACCTTCTCTCCTCTCCATTGTGGGGCTTGCTTCAAGCAGCCTTCAGATCTCAATTCCTGAGTCACTTACTCTCTGGAAGTTTCCCCGTCATGCTTTCTGCCTGAGTAGGAGCAGGCTGTGTGGTCCACAGTGCCCTGTGCTTCCTGGAAACCAGGCCATCCGGCTACCTTGTACCTGTCTGCTGCATCTCAATCACTAGATGCAAAGCCCTGTGAGGGATGAGACCTTGCTGGGTTGTTGGCTGTTGTGTTCTCAGTACTGCACAGAGTGGGACCAAATAAACATGAAATGAAGGGAGCAGTGGGGATTAGTACTCTTAGATGAGCAGATTTAGTTACAACAAGATATTCCCTTGGTGACTGAATTGGTTGCGGCAGGAAGAGAGCAACTGCCTTTGGAGACAGCCTTCCCAAATGACTCCCTCGATATCATGAAGTGAGTCTCAAATGCCACAAACAATGAGACTATCGAATTGATCCTTAAAGGGCCTGAGAACTGTCTTTTAAAACACAATCTTAAATAAACGTGTCCACCACTTTTCCCTTCTCTGTCTCACATCCACATTTTCAGACCAGCTTTCTAGACCTCAAGCCCAGCCCCAGCCTGCACCTTATGGAAGTTACTCAGAATCCCTCAGCCTAAGTTTATCAGGAAGGCTTTAAGGTCTCCTTGGTACAAGTTATGTTAATGTTTGTCTTCCAACACCAAAGTTAATGTGTTAAGGTGATTTCTGTTTAAAGCTTTCTTACAGCGTTGCCTTGTGCTTAACAACCAAAAAACGCCCCCAAATCCACTGCCACTGAATCAATTCGGACTCACAGGGACTCTGTGGAGGGTCCCAGTGCCCAATCCACAGAGGTACCAGGGTTCCTTCTGTACACAGGGCCTCGCTGTGAGGGGTGCGCATTCTGCTGTCTTCTTTCTCTGTGACTTATACAAATCTGACTTCAGCTTTTCTGTGATCTCACACCAGAGCACAGGGACAATGTTCTCTGACTGTCTTGGTTCAGTCGACTTGCTTAACCCTGAGTGAAGGTGGGCTTCTACCTGCCAGATGCTGCCATCACCTGCAGGGCCCTAGGTCGGGCATTCTCTCCCTGGTGCTTGTTTAAGGGCCTGTCTCTGACTCACACTTTGCAGCAGTCCCCTTGAGCCTTAATGCTAAGAGTAGGGACAAAGCCTGGAGAGAGTGCAAACAGGAAGCAGATGAAGCTCAGCAGGACACCTGCAAAGGCTGGCCTCCCAGTGTGCTCCCTGTTGCTAGAGTGGAGCACTGACCCTGCCGATTGTAGATGGAGTAGTCTCACCACAGTGGTGAGAACGGATGTTAGTGATATCAACTTTCTGCCCTTCAAAACAAAAGAGCAGGCAGACGTGTGTGCAGAGGACAGCAGTATCATAAGCTGAATGTCTCCTGCTATGGGAGCCTGGGAGCTTAATCAAAGCACCTACAGGTCCTAGGATCTGACTGTCGTTTCCAGATTTCTTCCCTTGGCTGGATACCCGAAAGGGCTGCAGGGCTGAGCTGTTTAAAGCATGAATGGGAAATTTCTAGCCTTCTCTCCTACTACCACCCCCCATGCATTGCTCCAGTCCGTCTGAACACCACGAGGTATTTTAAAATAATTTCTACTTTGATGAATTGCTGGGGAGTCCACAATTGCTCATAATCAAAGGGAGAAAAATGCAAATGAGATCCGGCCGAGAACTATCACCACCAAACGTTTATTTCACTGCACAGTGCCAAAAAGAATTAAAACAACATTAAACTCACAGCAATCATGTTTAAGCCCTCGTTTCCAAGTGCCAAATTACACCACTCTGGATCATACAGATGTTCGTTAATTATGCTAATTTTTATTAAACTATTAAAATGGAGAGAGTACTGGCTCAGCCAGGCAGACCCCAGCTCTGAATGAACTCTGCTCGTGTCTAGAGGTGCTAATTTACAGCCTTTTCATTAAGTTGCTGATTCTTGGATTTTACTTGTAGGGTGGCAAACAGAACCGAATTCCTGGGATCAATGTTTTCAATAAAGACTGGCTTCTTTTATGCCCAGATGTTTGGATAGACTGCAAAAAACGCTGAGAGGTTCCCAGGAGACTTGAAGTCCTCAAAGCAGAAGTGGGTCTACCATCAAGGTTGGTGTCCACACTGACAAGTGACAATGTTAGGGTTTGACACATCTGTGCTCCACTCGGTGACTTTCTCTACACTGTGTATGGATAGGTAAAGCTAAGATGCTAGTGATACCAAATTGCTGATTAAACATGCTCTGCGTAAGAAAATAAAAATCTGTTAGAAAACAGCCGCAACAAACGGAATCCTTTCACATCAGTGCTTACTTCTTGCCACAAAATCTTTTTAGAAGCTTGTCACTAGTACAACATGTGGTTGTTCTCAT